AGATCTTTGGAATACATCCATCATATTATTTACCCGCATTAGCCAGTCACGCTTGTAAAATTTATTATACATGTAAATATAATAATAAAATATAAAATAAATATAAATTAAATATAAATTGCAAATACCCACATTGTAGATAATTAACGTCATAGCGATAGACATTAGCCAAAAAGCTTAATCTTCAAGTTAGTTTCTTTTGAATACTTTCAAATTTTCCCCTGCAACTTTAAAAATTACCTTTACAAGTTGATTTTCTTTAAAAGATTAGCAATTACATTAAATATGAGCGTAATTAATACTGTTTCTACTACAAAATTTCACTTAATTGAGTTGCGGTGGCTTGTTGCCATTCTGTGGGATCAGCCCGATCCTATCAAATTTGCACGAAAAAAATCGGGTTATGTGGGATCAAATAAAACAAAAAAACTTATTAAGTTTTAAAATTCATTTAAAATAAATTTAGTATGAATAGTTCTAGGACTCCATTATATGCTTTACATACCCATCATGTTTGTTTATAAAGCTTACCATGTCCCTAAAATCGCCAAATCTTGTAACATCCGCCATTTTGAAGGTACGATATCTTGTGCCCCATATTGAGGAATCTGTTTGCGATTGAATTATTGGAGTTACGAAAGAAGGGTCCATAGTAGCATTATAAGTTTACAGTAAAAGATGAGTTTTAATGACTGGCATGTACTCAAAGATAACTTTATCTCCCAACTCTCTCACTAAGAAGTGTACTTGTACTTGAAAAATACTCCTCCAATGTGGTCTATGCAATGTAAGAGCTTCAAGAAATGCGATGTAATCAAGGGAGTCAGGGTCTGAAAATGTTATTTTTGGTATAAAACAATAAAATATAAAGTTATAGCCCGATTCGACAACATTTAGAGGTGCAGACTTGAGCTCAAAGTTGATAAATACGATGTTTTGCCGATGGTTCCAATGGTAGCAGTACTATGGATATATCGATTTGGTCGGATTGAGTCTTTTTTTTTTAATTTGTAGTATTAATATATAATCTCCTTTTTTGTCAGTATTTGATTATAGTCTTTTCTAAGTGCAACAGCCACTTTTTAATACTTAAATATTAGTAAAGCATTTTGATGGTCTTCATTACTAAACTATTCTGAAAGATTTGTAATTACAAAGGCCTTGGAATTAAAACGATCGAACAATTTTGCAGAATTGGGTGTTACACAATCAGATAATCTGAGACCCTGACCCTAAAAATTATACTTTTATAACATGGCTGTATCAAAGCATAGTCTACTTACATATGTATGTATGTTTTAGTGGTGCTTGTGAAAGATCCAAAGTAGAATATTTCACGTGGACGGTGCTTGGATCCAATAAATTGCGTTAGTCGGTACTTGCTGATTAGACACCTGTCAATGGCGCTAGTGGAATTATCCGATCGGCTCGAAACGATGACGAAAGCGTCCAGACAGTCCCAGCTGATATAGGGTAGACTTTGCTATCAGCTGCACTTTAAACCGCCGAGACTCCACTGTACAATGTTTTCGTCTTGGGGTCTAGTAAAAACCCACTCACGGTGACCCAGCACGAGTGTCTGGTATATACATACATATGTAGAATCTGTTCGAAGTCAATTTGCATCAACTTTTTAAATACTTTTACTTTAAATGTAATTTTCTGTGACTGACTCGACTGATACGTTACAAACGCCAACATTTATATACAATATGTGGCATTTTCTGTATGAAAACTTTGTGTTGGTCTTATTTAGAAATGTGTATTGATCAAAGGGTCTAAAAATCATAATCTGACTGAAGGCAGGATTCGTTTTGATCGAAAGCATTAAAGGGGCATCAGTCTAGCTGATATTTTATAAATACTATGGATTAATGCGGGACTTTAGTATCTTTAGTTATCCCTGGTTTGGGTCCCTGGGATGTCCAAGTCCACAGTTGGGAACCGACTCCCACTTGTCCTCATCCCGATAACTTTTGCAGAAATCATTGTGAGGGATTGACAGTCTTCTTTAGGCATGTGACCTAGTCCCAATCTGCCAGTGTCCCGTGATGTCTCGGGTAACTTCAGAGCACTGCTTTCTGCTGAGTATACATAAGTATATCTCCCTGCCGATCGTTTTTTGGATCGATATGGCCATAGTGTAAGTGATAGTTTGCTTCCATCGCCTGTTGGCATCTCTACCTATTCGCTCTCCAATGGGATAGATATGGTAGTGCCCTGCCCAGCCAGTTAGGCGGCGGCATCATTCCCATCGCTGTCCCTGTGTCCGGGCACCCACATTAGGACTGCTCTACGATCTTAATAGTAGACCTGCGGCAGTCCTTTACGGTTATACGAATATAACAAATACGAATGAACAACGCATTTGGAAGCGAGCAAAGGCACCGCGCCTTTCCGATCGTTTGTTATAGTTATACATGAATTCCATTGAAGGTACCTTTATATTAAATATTGGACAGTTACACAAAACTAGAACTAAAGGCGACCACTTTTCCACAAATATGGACGTGACTAGTTGGGAAAATCACAAGATCATATGTACAAAGCTCATTGAAAAGTGTTAAGTGCTGAGTACTATTTTTGTTCATCTAATTTTAGACTTTTTTTTGTTTGAAATTTTGTTAAAAAAAACAGTAAAATTACGCTTATAACAATTTGTCAAGCATATAAAAAATTTTTTAATTTATTGGATGCAATATATTTCCTGTAAAAATTGCGGTGTTTCATCTCTTAGAACAGCAGCAAACTAAAATTGTCTTGCTTGGCTAATACTTAAGTTCGTCACTGTATTGTACATATATTTTATCATAATACCATTGTCTGAAGGACTTCATCCAAGTCAAATGTAATTTAAAATAAAATTAAAAATAAAATTGCAATTTAATTTCCCAAACTCATTAAATTGTACCTTAAACTAGTTGAGAATTATAAGGGCTCAGAATGAAGGTCTCATTAAGAGCTAGTTGATAATTATAAGCCCCAATATAGCGAATCTATATCTATCTATAGCGAATTCGTTGAACGGATAATTCGTAAAATAAAATTCATTTTTGCAGATCTTAATCTAGTCGCTAAAATGAAGGCTTGATTTTTGTGACAGGAACGACTAGCTCTGCAGAAGCAGGTGGAAAATCTGCCACGATTTAAATGATCGAAGAAATTTGTGGCAACACTCAAGGCGATTTTGGATATTGATTATTGAATACATTTTATGTTTTAGATTAAGACACAGTCGTATGCCACACTTAATTAAATTCCTTCGAAAGAATTTTATAGACCACGGATTTTGTATTAATGAGATCATTCAAGAGCTGGAGACTTATCCATCACTCACAAAATATCGCCATCAATAATTTCAAATACACAGACTAATGATTGCTTCGATCTACTAAAGATATACATATGTATGTATATGAGGATGAGTGCAAATGAGGTCTGCCTGCTTGTATTAATTTCTTATGACGGCGCTGTCGAAGCATACACCCATTACTTATTATTATGTATTTAAATAAGTGCATATTACTAAGAAGCTAAATATGAATACAGAGAGTATATTTCTCGAAGGATTCTCGAAGAAGAAGAAATTTCATAAACATATGTTTTCGGCTCGGAATCAGCTGCTTCTCGAGTACTCACACAAGCAAAGGTTATTCTATTGTTAGATCGGGGTGTCTCTCTCGTGTTCGGGCGAGGTAGACAGCGCGGTTTTCGTCAGTTCCAATAAACCTCGCTGAATATGACCATTGAAATGTATGGAGGTTACTCATCTTACTATTTATATTATCTTTGATATGACAAAGATCTTTGGGTAGGAGTACAGTGTTTACTCAGGTTTGAAGAGGCCTTACGAAGTGGCCTTCAACACATCCAAAACATAAACAAACAAAAAAAAGCCAGATCTTGTAGCGTAAATAATGATGATTTCAATACACTTTCTTTGGTTTCACCTAAAATTGAACAATCAAATTTGTTCGATTGATACCAATCGGAAGAAATCCGAAACGGGTAGGATGGTTGGACGTTGTAACTTCTAGGGTTGACAAAATACTAACTGAACTGTCGACCGTTGAACCAAGTCGCTCCGCGACAAGTCGATTCTTGATTTCTTGGATTTCGATTTAGAAAACAATCATTTCACGTTCATCACCTATTAAATGATACGATTCCGCGTATTTTGTAAACTTGAACGGAACTACGGCCGTATCAGCGGGATACGAAGAAACGGAAAAATAATTCTAATTAATTCCTAAGCGAATATGGTTTGTTGAGGCATAGAGGAGATTATTTCCAGAACGTGGCCCCCCGATACTATTCGATGGAACTCAAGGGTGCATACTTGTGATTGGCATGTTCCTTATTACTCATCTACTTACTGTTATCAATAATCAATATTGATAATTCATATTCAGTCCATCTGTTTTTGTTTTTTGTTCATCATTAGAATTCTTTTCTAAATATTAGCTGGCAAAATTGAAGCCGATCAAGGTCCAGGCTCGTTTAGTAAACAATATGGAAATATACAGAACCTTAACTCAGTCTGGAGTCTAGACAGGTTTTTATATTGGGGCTTTGGTTATCGCAGACTAACTAATATCGTAGAATAACAAAAGAAAATGGAGTGGCGGATGAAGAGAAATGGAGTAGTGGAAGCTTTTCGCCTTGGCTTGATCGGGATGACTTGGCTTGGCTTGACTTGGCTTGTAAAAGAGCCTAATCATACCCACTACAGAGCACATTTGTGCGATAATCTTACGAACAGACTTTGCCAATCTCGACCAGACATGACTAACGTACCCAATTGCAATCGGCTCTTCAGATAATAGATTACCTATTAATTGCTCCGGTGCTTGGCCAGATCTACGGAGGGTTCTGTGGTAACAGCGACTACAGGTGACCTCAGGCTTATCGGAGTCGAAGCCCTCGGACATAAAAGCAGAAAAATGCTGGTAGTCAAGCAATCAATCGCTAACTACAGACCCAGAGACATGGGCCCCACAACCCTAGTGATCCAGCTACTGCTGTGCTCTCTGGCGCTCGTCAGCGCCAGCGCCAGCGCCAGCTCCAGCGTCAGCCTTGAGCCCCAGCACATACCCATGGCCGCAGGGAACTATGTGGCCACATCGAGACTTCGTCGCTTGGCGGTGGAGTTCCTTGACTACTATGAGAATATCACGCTGGCGGACATGAGTCGGGATCAGCGTGCCCTTCCTACCGCGCAGGATCGTGAGTGCCTGGTGGACCTGGCCCTACTAACACAGGATGTGGGCTCAGCAAAAATGTGGGCACTCAAAAGTACGTTTCATTGCTGCCTTGACATGTGGAACCGTGTGTTTCTAATTTGTTCAATTCTGCAGTGATCGACTCGTGGGGCTCACTGCCTTCGGGAGTGCTATACGGAAACCTGAGAGATCTGGGAAACTACGACGAGTGCCTCAACGTTGATCACGCTGTCAGCGCCAGTCACAGCGTCCAGGGAAAGTACTGCTTTGCCAGGTTCTCGCTCGCCCCCAGCATTTCGCCGCTGCTCAGCATAAAGACAGCGGTCTGCTTTCCCGCGTCCTGCACAGCTGCCAACATGGACACGCTGCTGCGACAGCTGTTCGAGAAGCTGCTCAACGTCGAGATCGGTGCGGACCTGCAGTTGGTGGACGAGAGCACGTGCAAGACTGCCCAGAGGGAACCCTACGACGGACTCACCATATTCACCATGTATGTCCCTCTCTGTGCTGATTTTACTCGGTCGATTTTCTTACCCAAAGCCTTGCAGAGTCCTGTTGTCGGTGCTGTGTGCCCTGATGCTCCTGGCCACCTTGTACGACTATTTCTTCGTTAAGGATCAGAGTAGGTGACTGAATGGAGACCATTTTACATATTTTGCTAACTATTGCCTCTATCTTTTGTCGTAGAAACACTTTCCCCGGTGGTGAAGGCCTTCTCGGCGCGTGCGAACTCGCGGGTACTCTTCCGGGTTGTAGACACCAAGTCGAACCCCAATATCATTGACTGTCTTCATGGCATGCGCTGCCTGTCGTTCGTCTGGGTGGTCTACGGACATGACTATCTGGTGGCTGCCGTGTCGCCCAATCTGAACTTCATCCAAGCGTACACGGTAAGCCCTGACTAATTGCCAGCTGAAGTAAAGTCCATGCTCAACCCGATTTTCCTTGGCTAGTGGACCAGGTCTGCCTACAGCATGCTGATCCAGTACGGGGTTTTCTCGGTGGACACCTTCTTCTTCTTGAGCGGATTGCTGCTCGTGGTAATCGCTCTGCGCACCATGGAGAGGTATGTTTTGCTTCGCCTACCGTCAGGGTTGTGTCCAGCCTATTGACCGCTCTTTCGCTCTTTCGCTCTTTAGAACCAAGGGAAAGCTCAATGTACCCATGATGTATCTGCATCGGTATCTGCGACTTACACCCGTGCTGGCCCTGGCCATTCTCATCTACATGAAGATCCTGCCCATTGTGGGTGACGGACCGCTCTACGGCTCAGTTACCTTTGACAATTACACCACCTGCGAGGAGACCTGGTACTGGTCGCTCTTGTACGTTCAGAACTATGCCACGGAGAAGATTGTAAGTTTCCCAGGACTGTAATATATGATCTCATCTGATGATGTTCTCCAAATCCTCCAGTGCTTGGGCCATTCCTGGTATTTGGCTGTGGACATGCAACTGTACATCATTGCCCCTCTCCTGCTGATCGTCCTGTACAAGTGGGGCAGAAAGGGAGCGGCAGCCATCTTTGTGCTAATGCTGCTGCTGGCTGCGAGCCTCTTCACCATTATGGTCGTGGGCAAGCACTCCATGTAAGTGGAAGACCTTGATAGTTACAGACGGTATCGTCATCGTTACTCCTTCGCTGCAGCTTCTCCCACACCGCGGATGCCATGCCAAGGATCTACTTCTCCACGCACACTCGGGCCTCTCCCTATCTCATCGGTATCCTCTTCGGCTACTTCCTGCACGTGAACCGGGGCAAGTCCTGGAAGCTAAGCCCAGTTGTGGTTTTCCTGGGCTGGCTGGTGAGCCTGGGCCTGCTCTTCACCTGTATTTTTGCGCTGTATGGGTACCACAGCAACAGCGAATCCCTGCCCATATTGGACGAGGCCTTCTACCTGACGCTGTCCCGCATCGCTTGGCCCCTGGGGCTGTGCTGGGTGGTGTTCGCCTGCATGCACGGCTACGGCGGCCTGGCCAACAGCTTCCTCTCCTCGCCCCTGTGGCAGCCCCTGTCGAGGCTCTCCTACTCCGCGTACATCTTCCACATGTTCATCGAGAGCCTGAACGGCGGCAGGACGCGCACCAGCACCTACTTCAGTGACTACGATGTGGTAAGCTCCAGCAGGGAAAACAGATCATCAGCCATCGTCACTGAAATTTACCTACTTTCAGATGCTTCGCTTCTGGGGCGATTTTGGTTTCACCGTCCTGCTCGCCTTCTTCGCATACATCCTTATCGAGGCCCCCTTCGGTGGTCTGGAGGCCATCTTGCTGCCCATTCGCAGTGCCAGTCCCAAGCCTGCCCCCGTCTCGCAGCAGAAGACCGGCGAGGCACCAGACGTCAAAGCCCCAGCGAAGGACTTTGAGCCTGCTCCACCTCTTGCTAGGAAGCGATCCCTGCCTGAAGTAAGCGACACCTTCGAAGCACCAGCGAAGGATCTCGAACCTGCTCCACCTCTTACGAGGAAGCCATCCCTGCCTGAAGAAGGCGACAAACAGGATGCACCTACGAACAATTAGGTTTAAGTTTTAGATATCCGTATTTATGATAGCTCTAGAATTATTCATATCTTTAAGTACATATAAACGAAAATATACCAAATAAAATATGTACATATGCTTTAAAATATTTATTGTTTGACTTAAGAACAAGCCAAACCGCCGCTGTGGGCCACGATCGACAAAAGGTCCCTCCAAAGAGCCGAAAGTGGCCCATCACTAGAGTCTGGTTGCAAAATTTGGTTGTTCTAGCTCTCTTAGTCTCTGAGATCTCTGAGACTTGGCTGTATTGACTCTGCTATTGATGCTGGTCAAGAATATATATACTTTATGGAGTCGGAAACACTTACTTCTGGGCGTTACACACATCCTCTTTCACCATAAATCTAATACGATATGCCCTCAGTTTGAGTACCGGGCATACAAATGTTCAAAATTTTCCACAATATTATCGGGTATTTCGGAACAGCTTATATAAGTTAATCCACTTTTAAGAATGCCAGATCTAGCCTGATATATCATCTATAGCATTTAGGGAGTCCTTCTTGTTCCCGAATCCTGCTAATGTCGCGCTGTATGACGGCTTTGTCCAGGGAGCAGGTCTCCTTATAGCCTCCGCGAAGACTCCGCACTCTTATCCGTCCCTGGTCGTTGAAGCAACCGCCCCTGGTCGCTGAAGCACTCAGAACGTAGACGAGGAGCAGCAGATAATGACAGTCTGGACGAAAGGTGGGTGACAGCAGGTCTGTTAGTGGAGTCGGGTTCCGTCCCTATCACGAGGCAGTACCAGGCCTCGTGACGTAAATGTTCTTTTGTGGAATTCAAAGAGACCTTGTAGATCCAGAAATATATTTCGATATGAATGTATCGGCATATGTATGTATTTGCAAAGAGTAAAAGTAACTTTTTAAAAGCGCTTGAGTTGACCCGTTGGGATCCCTGGGATGGCAACCATTTACCCCATTCATCCATGCATGTACGAGCAATGTACATTGATTCGACCAGAGGACCACACTTGTATTCGGCTCACGCATAATTACATTTGACCAAGCCCCCTAAAGGAGCAGCCCAGCCCGGTACATGTGTGGGAGCAGACCAGCAGGCCAAATCAGTGGCCAGACGGGCATTACTGCCACGACTCCGTGGGGAAAACAATTTGAAAAATGCTTTAAATGATTTCCGCTCATTAATCTTGCTGGCTCTCTGCTTGCTGGCCACATACGAGTAGGTACTGTTGAATTTATGCCTTGCGGTTGGGCTGCCCTTGGTCCTTGGTCCTTGGTCCTCTTGGCGAAACGCATTTCTGACAGCTTTAGTTTTGGCAATTCAATTAGGGCAAGTTGAAAACGTGTTGAAAAATGGATTTGCTGCCGACTCATATTAACCCTTAGCTGCCTCTGTGTGCTGTGTATCTGATGGCTTATCCCGTTGCTCGTCTAACGAGCGATGCAAATTTCTCCCCAGCAATTAATCATTCGTTGTTCGCTAGTCGTCGCCGTCACCATCGCCATCGCCATCGCCATCGCCTATTCGATGTCGCTACTGATGTTTATGCTGATGATTGGCGTCTTATTCCATAACTCACTTCCGGTTGGCGCCGGAAACGCGTCTTCGACACTAGTTGGCAGCGCTTTCGACTGTGATTGATGGCACTCAGATTGCCACTGACATAAAATGGTATAACTTTTGACTTGAGTGAAACAAAAGGTTTTCCCTAGGTCGATAGTTTGATATCAAATATTTTCATTCATGCCCATCAAAATGTCCGTTTTTTGTTTGTTCTCTCTATGCCAAAAAAGTCCACCATGCAAAAAAACATTAAACTTCCATAAAAATCGATTGCCTTTTATTCACTCCTTTATTTATTGAACGGTTACTAATTTAGCCAATTGACACATCATTTCTATTAACTTTCCATTCACTTTTTCGGATATTTTTTTTTGAATTTGTATAGTTATGTTTTCTCAACCGGCCAAGAAGCGCTGCCGCGAACCAATCGCGTGCAAGCAGGAACGATAAATGTTAGACCAATTGGAGGAAAATTGGAGCTAAACAAAATACAAATACCATTAATAATTACGAGAAGGGTATGTGATTATTAGTAATTTAAGAAGAGGAAGGGAATTAGTGGTGGCTATAATATGGTAGAGGGAACTATAGTCCGAGCATAAAACCATTGACGGTTTCGATTTACAAAGCGGTAGGGAACAGGTCAGGACAGTCAGGCCAAGTCAGGCCAAGTCAGGGACTATCTACGAGCCCCTTGCTCAAGTTGTGCACAAAAATCACACTAAGAATGGAAGGTTTATTGAAAGCAATCTACTGCATCCTAGTTAAGGCCCTGCATAGCCAAAAGTAAAAGGTTTTCCTTGACTGATTCTATAGGGTCCTGCTATACTTTGTACTGAACCGTATCCACATACATGAGTACTCGAGAGTATGTTAATACCGACGGAAAGTCATTAATAAGGAGTGTAAACAGTAAGGGGCTTAGAGGGCTGCCCAATGGTACTCCCGAAGTAACCTTAACTGGTGTGAAGGGAGGGATTTTTTGAGGCCTGGAGCAAAGGTAGAAAGAAATCCATCTCAGGAGGTTGGTCGTAAACCCTAAAAGGTCAAGTTTATGTGCCAGAAGGAAGTGGCTTACAGAGTCGAATGCTTTACTGAAGTCGGTGTAAATAACAGCCGTCTGTTAAATTATAAATCCATGCTGGGCTGGAGATATAAGCCATTCGAAGAGCTGTTGCAGGTGCGGTGTAAGATGTCATCAAAATCGAGAAGGTACAACCACAGAGCCTCCGGAGGAGTCAATCCGTCGGTTTCAGGCGCTGGCGATTCAGGCGGTTTCAGGCGATTGCAGTGGCAAGGAGCCATTTCATCAGTGTCCCTATTGTCCATTCAGGTCCTGGCAGTGCGTAAACATTCGTCCGACTTGTCCACTTTGATCTTTAGGTTTTATAGGCTTGTGAGAGATGTGAGAAGCACGATGCGATACCAACTGCAGAACGATTATATAAGGGTGAATAAGGTTTCAGATATACTTAATCCACAGATGAACACGATTTACAATTACTAATTACTAGAAGATGTGTAAGGATTAGTAATTTAATAAGAGGAAGGGAATTAGAGGTGGTAGAGTAGTAGTAGAGGGAATTATAATCCGAGCATATGACCGAAGGAGGCATCCCAGAAAGTCTAGGAACCTATGTATACAAAATTTGTTCGGTTTATGGTTTGAATCAAAATTTACATTTTCGAAACAAATATATAACACCTGGTATTAAAGATGTGCCTACAGCCCCGCCTTAGCCTCAGAAAAATCACGAAAAAAGTGTTCAAGTGGATAGATGGAATCTTTCAGACCACTGTCCAATACCATGATCCACCGGATAAATCCGATGCCGACAGGAAACTGTACCGAGCCTTAAGTCTATCGAATGGATTGCGTGCCATGCTGATATCAGTTCCTCCTCATAATATAGACCAAACACAGGATGTGCAGCCCTCAGTGGGGGACAGTGGTGGTGAGAATTTCAATCCATCGGTGGAGCATTCTAGTGGAAGTACAGCTGCCTGTGCGGTGCTTGTGAACGTGGGATCCTTTAGCGAGCCGCGACAGTATCAGGGAATGGCACACTTTCTGGAGCATATGATATTTCTTGGCTCCGAGAAGTACCCGATTGAAAACGAATTTGATGCATACTTAAAGAGAAACGGCGGCTTCAGCAACGCGCACACAGAGAACGAGGATACGTGCTTTTACTTTGAGGTGGAAGAGGCGCATCTAGACAAGGCCGTGGATATGTTTATGAGCCTGATAAGAGCACCACTCATGCTACCCGATGCCATAGCCCGCGAACGGTCTGCAGTTCAATCGGAGTTCGAACAGGCCTATATGCGGGACAGTGTGCGCCGTGATCAGATACTGGCGAGCTTCGCCAGCGATGGTTATCCCCATGGCACTTTCAGTTGGGGAAATCTAACATCTCTTCAGGATCGGGAGGATGACAAACTGCTGTACGAGGCGCTTCATGAGTTTCGACGAAAACATTACGGATCCAATCGCATGATTGTCTGCATTGAGTCGCGGAAATCGTTGGACGAACTGGAGGAACTACTGGTCCGTCATTGTGCCGATATACCCAAAAGCCAGGAGAATGCCCCAGATATGGACGGCTTGAATTATCAGAATGCCTTCAATGAAACGTTATTTCGCGACGTCTTTCTGGTCAGGCCCGTGAAGGATGTGTGCAGATTGGAATTGACATGGGTTCTGCCACCAATGCGGCCTCATTATCGGTGCAAGCCAGATTCCTTTCTCTCGCAACTGATCGCCTACGAGGGCGTGGGCAGCCTGTGCTCCTATTTCCGACGCCGTCTCTGGTGCACGAACGTTTTCGCGGGTGTTGGATCAAGCAGTTTCGACTCGAACTCCATCTACTCTTTGTTTAATGTCTGCATTGCCCTTACAGGCGATGGGTTCAAGCACATAGATGAGGTACTGGAGGCCACGTTTGCATGGATTAAACTGCTTAATGAGAGCAGTGGTCATCGAGAGGAGATGTACAAGGAGTTTCAGCAGCTTGAGGAAAACAATTTTCGTTTCGAAATCGAACTGCCTTCGAGGGACAACGTACAGCGTGTGGTGGAGGGCATAGGGTACCTGCCGCCAAAGGATGTCCTTACGGGACCACTTCTGTACTTCGAATACGATGCAGCTGCTCTACTGATGCTCAAAGAGCACCTAACTGCATTTCGCTTCAACATAATGATCTCCTCGGTCCTACCATATATGGATCATATTTACGATCAGAGGGAGAAATGGTTTGGCACTCAGTACACGACGATCCCCATGCCCTCCGCATGGAAGGCCATGTGGCACGATCCAGCACCACTGAAGGAGCTGGCCTTTCCACCATCCAACCCCTTCATAACCACGGACTTCACGTTGTACTGGCAAGAGGCTGGCAGGCCACAAATACCACGTCATCCCAGGGCCCTCATATGGGACGATTATTGCGAGCTGTGGTTTCGACAAGACGATATCTTCCTACTACCCGATGGCTACATAAATATGTACTTCGTCACTCCTTTGGTGCGGGAAAGTGCGAGGCATTGTATGGCTGGCGAGCTCTTCACCGAATTGGTGGAGTTCAGCATCGCCGAGCAATTGTATCCCGCCTTAGAGGCCGGTCTGTTCTATGACCTCCGTATGGGTGAGAAGGGACTGGTCCTGCGTGTTGATGGCTACAGCCAGAAGCTGCTTCTTTTGGTGAAAATAATCATGCGGGTGATGTGCACTCTAGAGCTGGATCCGGCTCAAGTGATTTCCTTTAAGGCCCTCAAAAAGCGTCAAATTTTCAATAGAATCCTAAATGGAAAGATATTAAATCACGACTTGCTGTACAAGGTCTTGGAGAGTAAGGGATTCAGTATGCTAGAGGAATATGAATCAATCGATACGGTAACAGCGGACGACATCGAGCACTTTAAGGATAATTTTCACAAGAAAATGTACGTCCAAGGACTCGTACAGGGAAACTTTACCCAAGAACAAGCGCTTGAGGCAATGCAACTAGTCCTTACCACTTACAATAGCCAAAAATTGGATAATCCATTCTCACTGAGCAACAGCTTAGTGCAGATACCACTCGGATCGTATTACTTGCGGGCGAAAGCCCTTAACCGCGAAGACACGAACACGATCGTAACGAACTACTATCAAATGGGACCGGGTGATCTCAAATTGGAGTGCCTGATGGATCTGGTAGAGTCGATTGCGGGCGAACCCTTCTACAGCCAGCTGCGCACTCAGGAACAGTTGGGCTACAGCCTGAGCCTCGACCAAGACACCGACTACGGTGTGCTGGCCTGTGTTATGACAATCATCACCCAAGAGACCAAGCACTCGGCCGACCATGTTGACCAACGCATCGAGGCCTTTAGGTCCCGCATACCAGGCCTCGTAGCCCAGCTCAGCGAAACGGAGTTCGATGATGTGCGCGACACGCTGATCAGTCGCAAAAGGAGGGGCGACAGTAGCCTGGACGAGGAAGTATGTCGGAATTGGAGGGAGATCGTAACTACTGAGCACTTCTTCAATCGCAGGGAAGAGCAGATACAAACGCTGAAGGGCCTCACAAAGCAGCACGTATTGGACTTATGGAGGGACTACGAAAACAATAGCTTTCGAAAGCTTTCAGTTCAAGTGGTTGGTCGGAAGAGGCTACCATCTCGGTCTCTGCTGTCCATCTCGGATGCTGTGGCTGCTAGGCAGAGCTCAGAAGCAGGCTTCGGTAACCCCAGCGGATCCTTGGCGAACTTACTGGAAGATGTGCAGCGTAATTTGAACGATGAACAGATGAGCAAAAGGATCCAGATAGAGCTGATGGGAAATGGCCAGGATCCGTCGCACATACTGGATATTGCGGCTTTTAAAAACGGTCTATATGTGTACCCCTTAATTATCACTAATCCGGCGTCTCCTAGAAATAACACAGAATACTAGATACTTTTGAAAATAAAGAATGCAAGCCACAGGCATTAAAGAAAGGGAGTCTCTAGCGATCCTGGCAAACATCTCGAGCCAAAATCTGTGCAGTCCCGAATTTTATAACCTCAACCTATTGCCAGACCGATTTTACACATCGTGCAAGGCAGTTGTTAGCTGTTCTGCCTTCTGTCGATAGCCGTGCCACTGATCATGGACATAGTTTTTGAGTACTGGCTATAAAGCCAGAGTGTTCAACGTTTTTACGACTCTGAAAGAGCCTGAATGAAGCCTTGTCTTGAAGAGTTCTTTAGTGTTGAAAAGTGCTGCGAAAATGTGTTCAATTGGGCATTCCTTTTCCTGGAGAACATTTTGAAAAACAAAAAAAACCGCTTTCAATGTTACGCTGTTGTTTATTTACTATTACGCTAAGAATATAAAAGATAGCCCACAGATGCGCCTAGTATAGGCTTCCATAACCATCCTAATAGCTAAATTAGGTCCAATCCCCTACTCTTGTACGTCAGAGGTGGGTGAGTCCTTAACTGTAGGCGGATCAGGAGCCGTCTTGGTCGTAGGTCCTTCTGGGACTGTCGCAGCCTCCTCAGGCTTAGGGCTGGGCTTGCGAGTCTGCAGCAAATGGCTTTGCAAGCTACCGAGGGGCGCCTCGATCAGGATGTGCATAAGGAAAGCGAGCAGAACAGTGAAGGCAAAGTCGGACCAGAATCGAAGCATCTGAGGGGTAAAATAACTTCAAGAGCTGACTCGTCAAGGCGGTCGTAGCTTACCATCTGGTAATCACTGAAGTACGTGTTGGTTCGCGTAATGCCGGCGTTGAGGGACTCGATGACCATGTGGAAGATGTAGGCGGAGTAGGAGAGCTTCGACAGGGGCTGCCACAGGGGCGAGGAGAGGAAGCTGTTGGCCGGGCCGCCGTAGCCGTGTATGCAGGCGAACACCACCCAGCACAGCCCCAGGGGCCAAGCGATGCGGGACAGCGTCAGGTAGAAGGCTTCTTCCACTACCGGCAGCGAACCGATTCCCTTGCCATGCACTGAAAATATGCAGGTGAAGAGCAGAGCCAGGCTCAACAGCCAGCCCAGGACCACGGCGACACGGCCTAGCCTGAACGGCTTGCCGCGGTTCATGTGCAGGAAGTACCCGAACAGGATGCCAATAAGATAGGGAGAGGCCCGAGTGTGTGTGGAGTAGTACAGCTTTTTCATTGGATTGTTTTCCAGGGAGGCACTGTAAGAGCAAGAGCAAGCAAACACACGGATACATACTGGCGGGGGCTCTCAGTCGATGCACGGGCTTGTACTAACGTGGATATGTTTTTGATCACCATCATGCTGAAAAGGCAGGAGGCCAGCAGGAGCATCAGCACCAGGATCCCGGCCGCTCCCCGCCGTCCCCACTTGTACAGGGCAATCAGCAGAAAGGGTGACACGATGTACAGTTGCATGTCCACTGCCAGGTACCAGGAATGCGACACACACTGCAAGTGGAGGATGGGGCAAGGTGGCGAGTACTCATCATGTACGAGGACTTACGATTGAGTCCGTGGCATAGTTCTGCACGTACAGGAGCGTCAAGTACCAGGAGTCGCTGCAGCTGGCGTAGTTGTCGAATGAAACGGATCCGTACAGGGGCCCGTCACCCAGAATGGGCAGGATTCTCATGTAAATGGGAATCGCCAGAGCCAAGAGGGGCGTGAGGCGCAGATAGCGATTGAGATACATCATGGGTATGTTGAGCCTTCCCTTTGTCCTAAACAGCAAGCGACCGGTTTATATACAGAGCACGATCGTGGTGGTATCAAAATCATACCTCTCCATGATCCGTAGGGCAATCAGCACCAGCAATAGGCCACTCAGGAAGAAGAAAGTGTCCACCGCGTAGACCCCCTGCTTTATGAGCATGCTGAATACCGTTTGGTACCACTAGAAGAGAGAAGGTTTGAGTCGGTGGGTAGTTTGGGCTGACCAGCCAGCTTACCGTTAACATATCGACGTAGTTAATAGCGGGCCCCATGGCAGCCACCAGATAGACATGCCCGAACACCACCCAGACGAAGGACAGACAGCGCATTCCATGGAGGCAGTCGATCACATTGGGGTTCGACTTGCTGTCCACAATCCGGAAGAGAGCCCGGCAATTAGCCCGCGCCGAGAAGGCCTTCACCACCGGGGAAAGTGTTTCTACGACAAAAGATAGAGGCAATAGTTAGCAAAATATGTAAAATGGTCTCCATTCAGTCACCTACTCTGATCCTTAACGAAGAAATAGTCGTACAAGGTGGCCAGGAGCATCAGGGCACACAGCACCGACAACAGGACTCTGCAAGGCTTTGGGTAAGAAAATCGACCGAGTAAAATCAGCACAGAGAGGGACATACATGGTGAATATGGTGAGTCCGTCGTAGGGTTCCCTCTGGGCAGTCTGGCACGTGCTCTCGTCCACCAACTGCAGGTCCGCACCGATCTCGACGTTGAGCAGCTTCTCGAACAGCTGTCGCAGCAGCGTGTCCATGTTGGCAGCTGTGCAGGACGCGGGAAAGCAGACCGCTGTCTTTATGTTGAGCAGCGACGAAATGCTGGGGGCGAGCGAGACCTGGGCAAAGCAGTACTTTCCCCGGACGCTGTGACTGGCGCTGACAGCGTGATCAACGTTGAGACACTCGTCGTAGTTTCCCAGATCCCACATGTTGCCATAGAGCATACCCGAGGGCAACGAGCCCCACGAGTCAAACACTGAAAGAGAGAACTCGTATTGGCCACATTCCTTTGGAAAAGCACCTTAGAACTCACTTCTAAGTGTCCAGATTCCGCCCGAGGACAGGTCCTGCATGGTAAGGGCTAGATCTTCCAGGCACTCCTGATCCTGATCCGTGGTTAGCCGCGGATGTTCATCCTGATACAAATTCAGATCCGCCAGCGTAATATTCTGGTAGTAGTCGACGAACTCAGTCACCAAGCTTCGAAGTCTGGAGGCGGCCATGTACTGGTCCCTGTCCATGGTGGGTGTGGGCTGAAGCTCATGGCTGACGGTGGATCCGGCGCAGAAGACCGCCAAAAATAACACCAGTAGGGGGCTAGCCATGTCAATCGGTCAGTGGTAAACAATTGATGGACTGGCTTGCGTCGGCCTTTATGTATACATATTTCTATACATATGTCTGTGGGAGTGTTGGGCTTCTGATAGTCGGCGTCAGGCAGGGCACACAGCGATAAGTAGAGTGGAAGCTCTTAATGGCAATCTTTCATGGAAATGAAATCTGAAATCTGACGAGGGGGGCCAAAACTGTTAGTCATAAGCACTCCTAACCGCACTCAGATTTAGTCAGTAACTGCTCATACTATAAGTGTGTAGATGGCTATTAGCTGATAAAAAGGTTCCTATGATGTAGGGAGTATTCTTAAGGAACAGTATACATTCTACAATGACGCTACACAATTATACATGCCGAAAATATAATAGTTTATTATTCAAGTTCGTACGAAAATCATCTTTGCAATGAGGGAACGGTGAGCCCTTCGATCGAGCCCTTTCAAATAATATTTGTTTAAAAACAAAAAATAGCAAACAACATGCCTAGCATGCGTGATATCATACAACCCGATTACAGTCCGACATATTCCGACTTGAACTTCATCAGAAACCACAACTTAGATCTAAGACTATCAAGTTCTGTGAACCGGAGGTTCCTATGGCAGTCATTTAACATAGTTCTTTGATTTGTATAAAATCCTACTTATAACTTATACTTGGAAAAGAAAGATTGTAAAGTAATCTTCACAAAGACAACAATAGAAAAATCGTTCTTGTGATATGGTTTGATTGTCTGCTACTAAAACCATTCGGAATGCCTCTGATAAAGGGCAAAACACGCTAATCAAAGATTTTCTGCCATGAAAACAAGGAGAAACATTTTTCAGACCTGAATATTTTTTGACTGCTAAGCCACTCTGTGTGTGAGAAATGGAACACCGGCATTGGAGTCTGCACACAATATCCATTTGCTCGAGCTCATATGGTCTCTGGAAACTAGGCGTCAACCGGGACAGACATGGCTATATCGACTCGGCTTTCGATGCTGATTATGAATATATATACTTAATGGGGTCGGAAAGGCTTCCTTCTGGGTGTTATACACCCCCACAAATGGATGTCTCAATGTACATTATTGCTTCCTGATTATACGCTTCCTTCTTCTGTTAAAAGTAGTCGAATAGCCTTCACTCACCAGTTGATGAAGAATTGTTAGCTTCTGTTCGTTGCAATCGTCTAGTCGAACATCTGCCACAATCCGTCGCATTGACTAGAAGGCCATTTCGATTGATAGTCAAATATAAGTACATATTCAACTTGTAAGTAAAAACGCTTCAGAAAACCTTCATTTTTCCGCCTTTGGCGATTACACTGGCGATTAATTATACCCGGTACTCGAGGAGTCTGGGGGTATATTCGATTTTTGGTAAGAGTGGATGTGTGTTACACCCAGAAGGAAGCGTTTCCGACCCCATAAAGTGTATATATTCTTGACCAGCATCAATGGCCGAATCAAAATAGGCATATCCTTCCGTTATTAGAGCTATAAGAACGGCAATTTGTGAGCAGACTCCTGTCATATCATACCAAAAAAAACGAACCTCTTGAAGGAAAAATGTGCTTTCCACAATTTTGAAGAAATTTTGAGAAAACCGAAAATGCAGAACTATAGAGAATGACCGATGGTTCCGATCGGGTGCTTACAATTTGCTGTGGATACGCTACCCCTTCCATGCGGTTACCCTCTCTCTCGTACAGTGTCCACGCCTTATCAGATCGTTGCACAATATATGTATATGGGCTGGTATGGGTGTGAAAACTATATAAACTATTAAACTATGTGGTGGAAAGAGGATAAGCGAAGTGCAAGAATTAATTTTATAAAATAACTAGTGGTCGTGGTTTCTCTATTTCTCTCTTTCTCTCCATGTTTTTGCCTTCTCTTATGACAAGTGCGAGCCAAAATTAAGAGAGATCGCGGTCTGCTTTGGCTGCCCTACCAAAATACCACCTTTAGCGAATAGCGGCAGACCACTTCGGTCTGCAATCGATTTAGTTATCGAAACAAATGCTTTTTTGCTCGTAACAGCTGAAACCAAATTGTGCACTTAATAATGACACAAAATTTGGAAATTTTATATCAGATCTTTACATATATATGGATATGTTTTGCTCCCTAATTGCACAATATTTCTGTTTTGTCAATCCCTGGGCTAAAAGGAAATCTATTGCTTCGTGAGCAGCAATTTTTATTGGCTGGACATACAGCCATACACATGCTCTTGTCTTGATAGCTAAATATATTCTTGAAGCTGATCAATAGCCGAGTCGATATAGCCATATCGGCCAGAGACTATAAGAGCTAGAGAAACCAAATTTTGTGTGCAGACTCCTGTGATAACACATGAATAAAGTTTTTTACCAGTTTTTGATCCCCTTCCGTATTTTTGTTATAGCCAGAACTAGCAAATCAATTTGTCATCCTCTCACCATCTTTTTCGTGTAGTGTGCGCCCTCTGGCGGAGCGAAGCCAGATGTAACGTCTGGTGTTGGTGTGAGAAGAGCGAGAGATATGTAGATGTAGCGAAAATACATATATTGTGTGAGTTTCATAAATCATAAGCTCACATGTCTGTCCACCGACTGAGTACCGGGTATACCCTTGTCGCGGTAGACAACATTTTCGCTCGTTTTCATATAGTAATTGCGTGTTCAATCGATGGACATGCTTGACCTAGGTGTCCTATTTGATTCCTTCTGCCAGTATAAAGGACCTGTCAGACGGGTTCTCCCCGTGTTATTTGTTAGACTGATCTCCTAGCTTTGCCCGTGTCCTGCCCCCCACCAAAAGCAGGGAAAGAGACTCGTTTCTGTTAAAGGTGTCCCACAATCGTTGCAACGACTAGTTTGGTGGGGAGCTGGTGTTAAGTCGGCCTAATTCACCAATCAACCTCTGAGGAAATCGATACAGCTGACGCTTTAGTTGTACGGCTTCCTTGGCCGATGCGCTGCCACCCCCCAGGTCCCAAAAGTAGTGGCCACATCAGCGAACCTCAGTCGTTGGGCACCATGGAACGTTGGCGCAACAAAGTGGCGGTAGTGACTGGCGCCAGTGCTGGAATCGGTGCGGCCTGTGTGCGCGCCCTGGTCGGTGCCGGTCTGGTAGTTGTCGGACTGGCGCGCCGCCAGGATCGTGTCGAGCAGCTGCGGGCAGGACTACACGAGGCAGAGCAGGGGCGTCTGCACGCGCTGAGGTGCGACGTTACGCACGAGGAGCAGGTACTGGCAGCCTTCGACTGGGCACAGCGCCAGCTAGGTGGCGTGGACGTGCTGGTCAGCAATGCAGGCATCATTGCCACCGGAGAGCTAAGCGGTCAGGGCAACACGGCGGCCATGCGCGACACTATAGAAACTAACGTCATGGGCAGTATTTACTGCATCCGCGAGGCCTTCCAATCGATGAAAAAGCGCGGGTCCGAGGGTCACGTGGTCATCGTGAACAGCGTGGCCGGACACCATGTGCCCAACTTGGGTCCCCAGCTCCCCTCACTCAATGTCTATCCGGCCAGTAAGTTTGCGCTCCGCGCCATGAACGAAATATATCGCCAGGAGTTTCAACGCCACAAAACCCCTGTCAGGGTGTCGGTAAGAAGGCTCTTCCCTTTACCTTCACTCTAGCAATGACATCATTGGAGAACCCTTGCAGACCATCAGTCCTGGCATTGTCGACACGGACATCTTGCCCCCGGAGATCTCGGCCTGCATCAAGCAACACATGCCCATGCTGCACTCAGAGGATGTTGCCGATGCGGTTCTCTGGACTATCGGCACTCCACCCAACGTACAGGTAGGCTTTTCTTATGGCCCATGCTCTGCCCTCATATTGCACTTACCGACGTTCCTATTCTTGGCAGGTGCAGAACATCACCATCAAGGTGCAAGGTGAAAAGTTTTAACCTAAGCTACGAGGTGGCATTCCAAAAAATATACATACAACGCAATAAATAATATGCTTCTCATGGTGGCACTGTAGAAGGCCGAAATCTATGAAAGATTACACTATGCAACAGCATTTTTACTCAACGAACTAAACCGGCTTTTTCTGACGAATTTGGGGCTTTAAGTTGCTTAAGGAATTATGATTTTTATACCCGATGCTCAAAGAGTATTGGGGTATATTGGATTTGGACACCAAGTGGGAAGCGTGTGCGACCCCATAAAGTATATATGGGATATAGCTATGTCTGTCTGTCCGACTGTCCGTTCGTCTGGCTTGAAGTCTTGTTCTCAGAGACCACAAGTCCCCTGGCACCATATGTGATATTTACCCAATCGATAACCAATCTAAACATATCTTCGTATTCCATGTATTATAATTCACCTAATTGTACAGTCCAAAAGGAAACCTAGTCCATGTGACTCTGACGAACGGGAAAACAGCCCTAGGCGTTCAAATACCGTCATTGAATTCGTGGAAAGCGCAGATTCGATTGTCATACAAATGACATTGGCAATCGGATTCAATTTGACACAAAAGCGGGAACTTCTAAATAATTGCCACCCACTTAAAACGCAAGTGTAATCACAGCTGACTGGAAGTTTATAAGCCGCTGTTGGTTTAATCGCGGAAATTAAAAGGAGTGTTTGGTTTGGCCCCAAGAGATTCTTGGTGCGAGCTCTGGCAAAATTGAAAAACTGTCATGAATGTTGCAAGGCAAGAATAACATTACAAGGCCTAAAATCTGGCTGCTCCTCGGCAAGCAGCTAATCGCCGGGCCTCTGCCCCGAATAGGTATTATGAAAGGCCCATTGAGGTCTCGAGCAGAACGCTAGAGGCTCTGTGTGGAGTGTTCCGATTTATACGGCGTGTTTTCTGAGAACATAAGATATCGGTTGAGTTTGTTTTTATGAAGATCTCAAGAATATTCCATTGTAATGTTGTATTGGAATTGGTTTTATGTACCATGTACCAACGGAACGGAGTGGATCTGGACCATGAGTCGGGATCTTCCATTGATGTTTTAGAGTCTATTGGGTTGAGGGAAGCAATTGATTCGCTTGAGTTTGATCTAGAGTTCATTGTTACTTCTAATATAAGAGCGCGAGATTTTTCTACTATTTTTTCAATGCTATTTTCGAAGTTTTTTTAAGAGACTGCTGGCTTAGTAGAGATATTAGGTGTCTTGGGAAGGTTCTTTGAGGAGGTCAGAGAGCTGTCATGAGCGGAGTCATGAGAGAGATAAGAAAAGGTGCTAGAAGCAGTGTTAGGAGTTGTGGGTTCCATTGTCGAGGAGGTCGGGAAGTATGCTGGATTTTATGTGGAGGAGAATTTTTTGAAATTCATATTGTGGTCATGATGGTGAGGAAGCAGGGTGATCGCCGTTGCGTCAAAGGTCTTTCAGTGCTTTGATAAGTGTCCTAATAATTGGCATGACTTACAGCTCTTCGGATTGGGGTTATATGGGGTTCCGTTAGCTTTACAGTGTGCCAAGAAACTCAGGGAGCGTAGGTGGTGCCTTTGAAGGGGGTATCACTGACTTCCTAGGAGTTCACCAGCCTGGGAAGGAGTGACCCTCCATTAAAGAAGGTGAAGATCGAGAGATATCTTTGGTCAGATTCCATATAGACTTGGAGGAGTTTTGTGATGAGACGATTTGCCGATTTACAGGAAGATCGGGAAAGTCAACTGGAAATTTCTTCTATATAACCGCGAGGCACCTAACCCCTAAATTGGGTGGCACGGGAGCCGTGGTTCTTTCTTGTAAGCCGGTAAGCCGGACGATGTAAGCACTACTGTACTGGCAGTAGGCCCCGACAAATGGCAGTATATTCAAGGCAACAGCACAAAATTATTATTCGGAAATTCATTTTTGTTCAAGGCCAAAATTTTATTCTAGAAGTTCAAGATCCAGTATGTACCGCGACCGTGACCACCAACTGACGGAGAGCTGTCCCGAGAGCGAGTACAGCCGTCCCGGGGGTTTCGCCGGCAATGTGGATGCGGATGGCCCGGCCTCAACGGAATCTACGGAAGTCCCCGTTGAGCTGGGCAGCGAATTCGCGATGCCAGTGAAACACGTTGATGTACGAAGCGCACATAGCCTGGGGTAAGTCCCTTGACATTTCAGCATCTCGCAGATCACAGCACGTTTGTATCTATCGTCTGTTACAGTCACCCAAGTCCGGGTGCCTGCCAGGAGGTTTACCCCACCATAGACCAGCGAATGGACGAGATTAAATCCAACATCTGGAGCGGAACGCCATCTTACTCGGCCCCGTGCTCCTATCAAAAGCCCAGTTATACTGTGTTCCGGCTGCAGCTGCGGAGCCCTCAATGCCAAGACCCAGAGAAAATTAATGCTGGCAACGATGCCCTGCAGACGGCGCGCTCCAGGTCGACTATGTGCCAGGCTGTCGCCATTCCCCGACGCGCTGAGGCCCCCCGGGCGGTCACTGAGCCGCGCCGCTCAACCCGCTTTTCCGACGACTGGAGCCTGGAGTTCGAGTCCAGTACCAGCATTAATCACCACGCCGACCAAAGCGGCCTCTCCCGTACAGATGCGGGAGCCGATGATGAGCCATCGTCCCCCGCAGATGAGCAAGATATGTCGCTGGGGTCTGGCATAGAAGCGAGCAGCAGCTCTTTTTGGGATGAACATGAAACGCACGGCTACCGGAGCCACAATAGAAACACGGCGAGAGCGAGCAGAATGGCCAGCTACGGCAGGACTCGTGATAAGGGCGCCAGGAGCTATGAGGAGTGGTTAACGTTGAAAAAGTAAGTCTAGTACCCGATGGTAATAGTCTGGCTGTAGACTTTAGTACGAAGTGAAGGTAACACGAGCGGAAACACGGCTCCCCTCCGCCATGGTGCGCACATTGCACGAGGAAGAGTGGGTGAGAGAGAGAGACAGAGAATGAGTTAGCGCGTGGAAGGCAATCTTTTGGATATGTGTGATTTTAGGGGACACAACATTTGGTTGCTCTATCTCGTATAGTCTCTGAGATCTAGGCGTTCATCGGGAATGTAGACGGTAGATTCCCGTAGAGGCTTGCAGCCCATATTGACAGGTTTAGGTACTGGTTTAGGTAAACTACAACAAATTGTAATACATTTTTCTTTAACCCTTTTACCCAACAGAAAGGAGGCTTTCCAGCAACAGCGCCAAGAACGACGCGAGGCCCACCGCCTGACGGTGGCCGAGAGGATCCGCAAGCAGATGTCCGACAAGAGTTACTCCAGCTGGCTGGCATCCAAGCAGCAGCGTCATCTGGGAGCCCGGCTTCCCGTGCGGTTTGCGGTTGGGAGTGACGGCGCAGGCGCGGCCGATGCTTTCACGCATATGAAGTCGGCGCACCTGCCATTCGTCCAGGTAAAGAGCGCCCCTCGAGTCAGCACGTTGGTGGGAGGGAACGGGCGCAAGCCGGCCCGTTCGCCCGAGGAAGTACAGCGACGGGTGGAGCAGTGGGAGCTCAACAAGATGAGGGAACAGGAGCGTCAGCGGTCGGCCAGGCAGCGTGAGAAGGCCCAGCTCCAGGCCATGGCCGAAGAGCGGGGCCGCCAGTCAAAGCTGGCTTGGGAGCGTTGGATGGCCCGGTTGGCGATTAAACCGCGTCCCGTGCCACTCAATCGCCGCCCCGAGTCGCTGACTAGAAGCACCGCATCAATTTACGTCAATCAGAAGATGTGGCATCATGGGGGCCTTGGCGCAGTACCCAAGAGCCCAGATACCCGGTTTCAAGGACGGCCGCCTGTTGCTCTGATGTCCAGTGCTCAACGTGCTCTGCGGCAGCGTCTGGACGAAATTGATGGGGTACGGATGCATCGTAGGCCAAAGTAACATCCGGTAAATGCAGACGTACCCGTTCAATTTCTACCTCTTTGTCCGTTCGACTTTTAGCTCCTGTCACAGAGAGCTTCCAGAAGGCCCAAATGCAGTAATTTTGATAATTCAAACCTCAAATCCTTCATAGACCATCTGAAATTACACTATCCAACACAGGCAGTGACGGTGTTTGCTTTGGGCTTCTCTGATTCCCTTACTTTTCAGCTCAATCGCGAAATGTTTGCACGCTTGCACGAAAACGAAAAGTGTTGTTGCCCCGACCAATTATTTTACAAATTATGTTTAAAGAGGGCACAAGCTAAATTGCCCTGGCAATGGCGTCAGATGTACATATGTTAATGCTACAATAAGTCGTCTACTTTTTTCCTTTTACAATTAAGATTCGTTTTGTTGTAGTTTTCATTTCGTCGAGGGCATGTTTTTGTTTAAAAAGGAAGAATTTTTGCGGAAAATCGAAAAACTGGGGAATCCAAAACGGAGCACCATCTTATGTTCGAATTTATGTTCCCAGTTTGTTCCTGGTTCAAGGAGTACGAATGGCTAGGCTATCCCTGGGGGCCATTCCCTGCTCCCACGTGTACTTTTAATCCCTTTTCAATGTGCCTCAGAGCCAGGCGACAACCCACTCAGCCTGCCCTGCTGTCCTCCTACACTGGCAGTGACTGCGACAAAATCGACGAGCACTTAGCTAAAATGTATGCCCAGCAATCCATCCATGTTCTGGTCAGTACTCCGGCCCTGCCCCACTCTCGCACAGTGGCCAGACCCCCGAAAGCCAAACCTACAGGGGCTGACGATACGAATGCAGGACAAAAGGATTTCACATTTTTCAAAGTTCATAGTTACAGTCGCAGAGAAGCAGAGACCGAACCTTAGTGGGTTCGATAAGGGCTTTTCCCTCCCTTTTTATACCCGATACTCAAAATGAGTATTGGGGTATATTAGATTTGTGGTAAAAGTGGATGTGTGTAACGTCCAGAAGGAATCGTTTCCGACCCCATAAAGTATATATATTCTTGATCAGCATCAATAGCCGAGTCGATTGAGCCATGTCTGTCTGTCCGTCCGTCCGTCTGTCCGTCTGTCCGTCCGTCCGTCTGTCCGTCCCCTTCAGCGCCTAATGCTCAAAGACTATAAGAGCTAGAGCAACGATGTTTTGGATCCAGACTTCTGTGATATGTCACTGCTCCAAAAATATTTCAAAACTTTGCCCCGCCCACTTCCGCCCCCACAAAGGGCGAAAATCTGTGGCATCCACAATTTCGACGATACGAGAAAACTAAAAACGCAGAATCGTAGAAGATGACTATATCTTCTAGAGTGCAAAATCTGAACCAGATCGTATAATTATTACAGCCAGAATCACGAAAACAATTTCACTCTTTCTCGCTCTGTCTCACTCTAACACACAGGTTTCATGGTCGGTTTTGCCAATTGCAAAATATGAGTTCAAGGATCTCAGAACCTATAAAAGCCAGAGCAACCAAATTTGGTATCCACACTCCTGTGATATCGGACCTTGACCGTTTCCTGTCCAAATTTCGCCACACCCCCTTCCGCCCCCGCAAAGGACGAAAATCTGAGGCAACCACAATTCTCAGAGACTATTAAGGCTAGAGTAACCAAATTTGGTGCACACACTCCTTTAAGATGTCACTATAAAACGTATATCTCAGAATTTCGCCCCACCCCCATCCGCCCCCACAAAGGACGAAAATCTGTTGCATCCACAATATTGCAGATTTGAGAAAACTAAAAACGCAGAATCATAGATAATGACCATATCTATTAGATTGCTGAATCTGGATCAGATCAGACCATTTTTTTAGCCAAAAGGAACAAATCATTTTGCAGTGGCTACGCAGCGCCCGACGTCACGCTCAGACTGATTTTCTGTCTCTCTCGCACGCACTCTTTGTCGTGTCGTTAAATATTAGCGGCGTCTGCCGGAGGAGAGCCATACTGACTTAGTATCGGGTATAACCTTAGAGTTGCGGTGTCCGCAGCAACTCACAACGTTCCCCCTCGTTTCTTATAGAATTGAAGCCCAATGTCCATCGAATTATGGCGTATTCAAGAGGTGCTTCTGTGTATAGCTGGAGAGCTGAAGGTCTCCTTTCTAAAGATATAAGCTGAGAGCAGAACCAGAACCGGCCTGCTGGACCGGAGTCCTATGGAAAGGACCCTATACTCGTAGTTGCGTAAAAGCCCCTAGCGGTCCAACGATCTTTCTGCTTGACCTGCTTGAAACGCCGACGGCTTTCGGCTTTGACTGGTCGTCGTGCGCTTACCGCTTACCTGGTAACTAGTTGCGTAAGTGGTTTCCCCTGTAATTGCCACCTCTGAAACTCCTTCGCCAAGTGTAATTGGTTCATTGAGCATTTTCTCAAGCTTTTTTCGCTCTGCTGTCATATCCGTATTTTGTATGTCATCCGTGCTTGGCCTGGATCGGCCATTTGGGGCGGAAAGTTTCCGGGTGAAGGTCGGCATATCAAGTATTTTTCGTTGTCAAAAGATAATAAAAGCAACTATACTTTTTTCTTTTGCTGTCCTCCGTGCCCGCCCCTTCCCGTACCCGTTCCTCCATCCATTCGACACTGTGCAACAATTCGCTTTTGTCGTCTAGTTGCTTCTGCTGTTTGCTGCTTGATGCTTGATGTAGTTGATGTGGGGCGTGGGGCGTGGGGCGTGGGGAAGGGGTGGCGCAACAAAGACACCCCCACCCGCACCCCCACCCGCACCTGCTGCACCTTCATCTACAATGCTGAAATACTCGTATCTCACTGCAGGCCGTTCTCCTTTCACTCGGGCGACATTTATTTGTTTTATTTTAATTGCAGCTATGCGGCTCCAAGCACAGCGGCAAACGCAGCCAGGGTCGCTTTGAAGGGGACCCACCATGGTGGGGGGTAGCGGCAGCCCCATCTTTCGGGTCTGACTTTGCATTTGGCTTTTGCCAATGCGTTGCATCTTGCAACGGAGCCCGACACCCGACACCCGACACCCGACACACGGCGACAGCACAGAATGTTAATGAAATTTTAATTAAATAGGAGCTCGACTTCTCCTCCCACCATCTCCATGCCACCCCACCAGTTGGTTATTTTGTTTATTTTGTTGCGAAATAATATTTCTACAAATACACAGGTGTCGTATGCATATTTATTGGCTTGTACTACGAGAAATCTATTCATACTTGGCCTAAAGATTGTATGCACCACTGAAAGCCGGTAGTCTGCAGTTTCCAGATCGGAATTCAAGTGGTAATGATAGAGTTATCTCTGATTCAAGCTAAAGAATACCCCTATTAATCGATCTACCTTAAAAAAGTTTCTTAAGTTATGAAAGATCATTATTTATACTCTTGTTTATAGGGAAAAACCCTCTGATTATAGACCCTTAAGTTTTTGTTGCCTAGTGTTATTCGGAACGCAGAATACTAGAGGCTTATCCCAAGATTGCATCGTTACAGGGTCGATAAATTCAGTGGTGGGGAGGGGGGTTGGGTATAATCTGATTGAATTCCGCCGGCAATGTAGGCAGTGCAGGAGGGTTCCCACATAAATCGTCGACTGTGGCGGCTCCAATTGCAGCCACAGACAGAGCGTGGGGCATAAAGCGATGAAGTGTGTACTTTTACGGCGAGAATGGCAGGGCTGTAATTGAAAAACTGCGCCGCTGCATACTTTTAGGGATTATTTTAAAAAAACGCAACACCAGTTCGGCCTTGGCTGGTCGGTGGGCGGTGGGTGGTGGGTCGGTGGGTCCACATCCATGTCATCAGGAGGATTGTGAAAAATGTCACGCCAATCGCTGAGGCAAACAATTTGCGTTCTGCGGCTACTTCGGTGGCTGTTGCTGTGCCAGCAGTTTCCAAACACATTGTGGGTGTATGGGTGTAGGGGTGTGTGGGTGGATGGGTGTTTGGGTGTGTGGGTGTGTGGGTGGATGGGTGTGTGGGTGGATGGGTGCCGTTTCTCGCTCCTTTGCTGTTTTTGTATTGGCCGTGCGTCCAAAGGCAATAAATGTGACCACAAACAAGCGAATAAACGCAGAGACACACACACGCACGCACTCACACACACACACACACTCAAGCACTCACACACACACACACGAGCAGCGTGCGCCTGCAACATGGAAAAGCGAGCCGTGTTTTTGTGTGTTTACAAACGGCAGCAATGGCGCGGCGTTAATGGCCAACAAGCTTGAAAAAGCCGCCGAAGTAGCGGCATTTAAATGCATTGAATCCTTTGTGCCCAGTCGGTTCCAGCGGTACCTTCTGTCCAGGGTCGCTTCTGAGGTGTCCCTCACCTCCCTTGCGCTTTCGCAGACGACGACATTGGAGGGTGAAGGTGGATCCCCCCCTGCGCCAGGACGGGTGCTCTCTGGGCGGCTTAGTCTCCGCCTGCAGCCCGTCGGTCCTACGCCGCCTCAGCAGGTGGTAGACCTGAAGAGCCCTGGTTGTTGGGATGTCAACAACTTCTACCCCGGGGTTCTGCGGCTCCTCAGTGAGCCCAAGGCGGGGGCAGGCAATAGCCAACTCTGCCTCCGACACTGAGGGACTAGTGATACCCGATTTCAGTTCCTCTAAAACCTCTTTCTGACCCTTGACTGTGGCATTACACGAGCTGCTACCTCGGGCTTTCTGTTGCATTTCCAGGATATCGAAGCCGCAGCCCCACTCAACGCCGGAACTGGGTCTCCGACACAAGATTGGATTAGTTCTATCCAAATGGCATAATGCGTTGAAGGCTGCAGTGATTGCAGCGAACGTGGCATTACGGGGATCTTCAAACCCCAAACAGTATTTATCCATGATTCAGAAAGTCAAAGCAGCCGGGAGAAATAGCAGAAATCCCAACGAACCAGCTCGAAAGGAATATTAAAATTAGAAAACGTCTCTCCAGCTTCCAATTTACCACCGAAATAGGCCCCAGCAGCACTGCTGAAGGAGCCTCGTAACCCCAACCAAATAACAACAGACCAACAAATACCAAATAGCAAATGCCCTATGCGAAAACTGGGCTGTCATTAGCATCAGATTGCAGCTTGTCATTCCCCGCCATGCAACACAAGAGAGCAGTACAGCCAT